GAACTGAGAGCTGGGTGTAATAGTGCAGCCCTTTAATTCCAGCACTGCAGAGGCAGAGGCAGATGCAGGTGGATCTCTGAGTTCAAGACCAACCTGGTCCACATAGTGAGTTTCAGCATAGCCAGGGCTACAGAGAGACTGTGTCTCAAAACAACCCCCCCCAAAAAAAAAAAAAAAAAAAAACAAAAACAAAAGAACCCACCATCAAAAAGACAATAAACAAAAAGAAGACTGAAATGAAAATAGGTGACTTGGGTACCACTCGGCTTCTCTTTTTCCTTCTTTCCTTTTCTTTCTTTTTAGTCTATGATTGTGTTTAAAAAGAGATCCAAAACATCTTATTACAGGGAGAGCAGCTAGCATTCCTCTGGGTCCCCAGAGATGGCATTTCCTGTCCCTTTGCTGACAGGAGGGAAGAGCTGTGGTGACTTCATCCCAGGCTCCCAAAGCAGCCCTTACATCCTTGTCCTGGGAACAATCCCTCTTTATTCAGAGACCAGAAGGCACAGTTTTCTGCCACACTCCCTCACTGTCCACGGGAGAAGCCCCTGCCATTGTTTGTTCGTAAACAACACATGCATCTGGCAGATCTGCTTGTTTGTTTAACTTTTCTAACTGTTCAAAGCACTGTTTTCCCCCAGGGAGCCAGCTGGAGCTGGTGACCCCTGTTTAAGGTCAGGCATGGGCAGGGTGGTGAGGAGGGCTGAGGTCTCCTTGGGAGTCTGGGGGTACACCCTATAGAAGAAAGACTAGAAGGGAGGGTCATCACCGCATACTGTGGTGTTCATGTGTTTGGTCAGTCATGGGAATGTGTACTCAAGTTGTCTTCATGGGAGGCTGCCCCAGCCCCCAGTCCCCAGCCCTGTAAAGTACTCAACATGTGCAGTTCCCACACATTTATATAGGGGACGGCCAGAGAATTTCCTGTCTGGGTTTTTAGTCATAATTACCAAAAACATGATTTTTTTGAAAAGATTTACTTATTTATTGAGGTAGGGTCTCACCGTGTAGCCCAGGCTGGCCTGAAACTTAGAGATCCAACTGCCTCTGCCTCCCTAGCCCTAGGATTGAAGGTGTACCATCATGTCTGAGTATTTTTATTGTTTTTAAATTGTGTATGTCTGAGACCTACAGAGATGGCTTAGCAGTTAAGAGCACTGATGGTTCTTCCAGAGGTTCTGAGTTCAATTCTCAGCAACCACATTGCAGCTCACAACTGCCTGTAATTCCAATTCCAAGGAACCTGACACCAATGGCAAAACACCAATGTGCATAAAATAAAAATAAATAAATAAAAATTGTGTTTGTGCACATGAGTGCAGTGGTTACAGAGGCACAGAAGAGGGTGTTGGATCCTTTAGAGCTGGAGTAATAGGCAGTTATAAACCCCCTGGGGTGAATATTGGGAACAGAACTCAGGTCTTCTTCAAATGCAGCCACAACTGTTTGTTTTTATTCCTATTTGTGAGTGTATGTGATGAACCCACTTAAGCAAGCACTTTACAAGACCAATGGTTCTCAACCTTCCTAATGCTGCAACCCATTAATGCAGTTCCTCATGTTGTGGTGACCCCCCTCATAAAATTATTTCATTGTTACTTTATAATTGTAATTTTGTTACTGTTATGAATCATATTGTAAATACCTGATATGCAAGATATCTGATATATAACCCCTGTGAATCATTCGACCTCACCCAAGGGTCTTGACCCACTACACGGAGACGAATCTCCAGCCCTCTTTTTACTTATTATCTTGAACTACCATTCTCCTGCATCAGTCTGTGGCATTAGGGATTGCATTTGTATAAATCAGTATGCAGGAGAACACAGCTGTCCTCTGTGGAGAGCAGGCCCAGGTAGGGGATTTACAGAGCCCAGAGTTTACCACTGACGGGGCTTAGTTAGCTCTCCCGGTATGAAAAGGACTCTTCCTTCCTGTCTGCCTCTCTCTTCCCCTGAGGGCATCCCTCGCCTTCTGGCCTCCACTCCTTTTCACAGAGCTGTGTATAGCTTCCTGTCTGTCCTCCCCAGCAGGGTTTTTTGCACCCTGAGATCAGCAAATTGCATGGTTCTCCACCAGCCCTGCCCCTGGCTCCTTTACTCTCTGCTTTAGGCTCTGTCATCCCCTCCCCCTCCCTCTGTCCATTATGAGATTAAAAAGTGAAGGCCTGAGGGACAAGACTTTTGAGTTTTTTGGAGACAAAAGAAATGAAGGATGGGGCTGTAGTGATGGTTTCCCAGTTAAGAGCATCTGCAGAGGACTTGGATTTGGTTTGTGGTACCCACTTGAAAGCTCATACCCTCTATAGCTCCAGTCCAGGAGATTCCAAAGCCTTCTTCTGACTTCCTTGGGTACCAGGCATGCAAGTTTGCATTATGAGCATGAGTTTGGATTCCTAGCACCCTTGTAAAACCCCAGTATGGCAGTGCACACCTGTAACCCAGCAATAGGAAGCAGAAATGGGCAGGTCCCAAGAGCTCACTCACCACCAGGCTAGCAGAACCAGTGGAGAATGATGGAGGAAGACACTTAACTCTAACCTCTGGCTCTGCAGGGACACAAGTGTGTGTACACACAGAAGGACATTTACCAGGACAACCATGTATGTGGGAAGCTGCTAATGTCCCTTGTCCTCCAAGTCAAGGGTGAACCCTGTAGGAGCTCAGAGTTTACTGTGTCCTTGGTCAAAGGACTCAGCCAAACTAAAAGTCTTGCTGACTGAGCAGCTGCAGGTAGCAAATTTAGTCAGACCCAGAGGCAAGCCCTTTATCCGGCACAAGCCCTTCAGCCTCTGGCCATGCAGACAAGGTCCACCGATCCAATTTGTGTCTGGTAGAAGTATGTTAAAGGGAACTGGTGATTTTAGGATGCTGAGTGAGAGGCACCATTTCCTCTGTCGATCTGCTGCTTTTTCTTTTTCCAGAACGTTCATCCTTGATGGTCTCCTGGCTTTAATCACTCACTTCACTATGAGGCTTCATGCCAGTCCTTCCCAGAACTCAGACCCAAGCCACATTGGGCTGGACTTTAGAATCTTCTAGAAATACCAATCTTAAAACTTAAGATCTATTTAATCCCCTCATGTTGTGGCTCCCCTTCTTTCCTCCTTCTGAAATTCAGGCCAAAGGCAGGGGTCATCCTGGACTTAAAACAATCTTTATTTATTGGGCATGGGTATCACTGTATGCAAGTGGAGATCAGAGGACAGCTATGTGGTTTTGGTTTCTTCTGCCATGTGGGACCCGATAAGCTCCCTTCAGGTTAGGGCTGGGCACCCAGGACATGTGTGCACATGTACGGAGGTCAGAGGACAGCTTTCAGAAGCTGGTTCTCTCCTTCTGCCGTGTGGGACTTCAGGCTTGAACTCTGGGTTTCAGCCCCTGATAGCAAGTGCTATCCACTGAGCTACCTCAAAGACCCAGGCCTTGTTAATTCAGATCTGATCCTGTACTCAACGACTCAACTAATGAAAAGACACCCATGCTGGCTAGGGTGGGCCAGTGTCATAGTGCTTGGGCACAAGTGCTCCCACCTGTGGTGTCACCAGGCAATAGCCTCCATCCCCAAGTTTTCCCTCATACCATCAAATTCAGGGTCACACACAGTCTCATGCTCAGCCACTGGTCCCCCTCTCTGAGCCCCCTCACCCCCCCCTTCCTTAATCTGGTTCCCCTGGGTCCTTGGAGGTTAATGACAATCACACAAAATAAAAATAAGTTAGTTTTTTAAAAGCAACCATGTTTAAAGATTCCACGATTCAATGTCTGCTCACACAAAGCTCATAGCAGTGTTCATAGCACCAGTGTTTATATTTTCCTTAAACTAACAAGCAATGAGTGGATATACAACATGGTGCATCTGTTCCACGGAACATTATTCAGCCAGAAAAAAGAATTGGTAGAAACACTACAACAGGATGAGCCTTGAAAGCTATAAGTGAATGGTACACACACACACACACACACACACACACACAGAGAGAGAGAGAGAGAGAGAGAGAGAGAGAGAGAGAGAGAGAGAGAGAGAGAGAGAGAGAGAAAGAGAGAGAAAGCCAATCCCAAAAGTCCTATGTGATCCCATAGGTGACATATTAGGACCAAGGGGACTCACAGAGGTACAGAGCTGGTTTCCTAAATCAGGGGAGGTTGGGGTATCAGCTAAGAGATACAATGTTTCATTCATTGGAGGTGAAAATGTAACATGTGAATTCACTGCCACTCCAAAGATGACTTCAACGATGGTCTCACTATGCAGCATTGGCTGGCCTTGAACTCACAGACATTCTGCTGCCTCTGCCTTCCAAGTGCTAGGATTAAAGATAGGTGCCACATCTCCTGGTATGGAGGCTACTCATCGGCAAAGCAGTCCTGTTGTTTTTGCAAGCACTCGCAATTTCACATTCAATATTGCTGCATCTAAAACCTTAAAAGGAACTTTGTGACCAGTCTTGTTTTCATTTCCCTTTACTTTTATTGTTTTTTGTTTTTTTGAGATCTAGTCTGACCTGAGCTCATGGAAATCCTCCTGCATCAAGCACATATGTGTTGAATTATAGGCATGAGCCATCAGACCTGGCACGAACTCTTTAGGTTTCTTTGGCCTGTACAGATTCACTGTTTGTTCATTTGCTTTTCAAGGTCTCACACATACTAGACAGATACACTTCCACTGAGATGATAACTAAAGGCTACCTAGGGCTGGAGAGATGGTTCAACAGTGAAAAACGGTCACCGCCCTGCAGAAGACCTGGATTTGGTTCTTGGTATCCACATGGTGGCTCACAACCATCTGTAACTCTAGCTGCAAAAGATCTGATGCCCTCTTCTGGCCTCCCTGGGCACTATACACACACGATGCAGATACACACATGTAGGGAAAACAGCCACACATATAACATAAACATAAATCTTTAAGTCTACTTAACTAGGTGGAAGGGTTTTCCTCCTGCATTAGTATGAGGAGTGCAGGTGCTGACCCTGCTGTTTTCTCCTGCACAGAACTTCCATGATGGACGGAAGGCCCAGCAGCACATCGAGACATGCTGGAAGCAGCTAGAGTCGGTAAGTAGGAAGCAGGCTGCCTACTATCTTACTTCAGTCTCAGAATGGTTTGAATGACTCACTAAGTACAAATCCAGCAGAATCCACTAATGTGTCTTCTTTCTAGATTTTCCTCATTCACATTTCGTTTAATTTGTTCCTAGAACTATTATGGCAAGTAAAATGCTGAGCCAGAAATGCTTGAAGTGGGCTGGAGAGATGGCTCAGTGGGTAAAGTGTCAGCTGGGGGAGCATGAGGACCTGAGTTCCAATCCCCAGCATCACTTAAAAAGCTGGGTGCAGTAACACATGCCTATAATCCCAGCACTGGGGAGGCAGAGACGAAAGGATCTCAGGGGCTCACTGGTCAGCTAGCCTGCCTAGCCATATTAGCAAGTTGCAGACTCAGTGAGAGACTATCTCTGAAAGCAAGGTGTATGAGCTGGAGAGACAATGGCTCAACAATCAAGAGCACTTGGTACGCTCCCCGAGGACCCAGCACCCAGGGAGAAGGGCTCACAACCTCCTGTAATTCCAGCTTCTGGGGATCCGATGCCTCTGGCCTGTGAAGGTGCCTGCACTCCACTCAGATGCACTCATGACCACATGCAATCAGAATGAAAACAAATCTTTGAAACAGGGTGGAGAGCAATTGAGGAAGAATCCTATGTTGACCTCTGACCTCTTTGTGCACACGCATACACATGTGCACAAAAGCAGATACACAAAAAGCAGATACACATACTCCTGGGAAAGTGTCTTATGAGTTTACACTGCAGATAAATCTGATGCAGAGAATAGAGAGGGGGTCACTGTAGTGTGGACAGATGCTGGAGTCACTTCTAGAAATAATGTCGTCTAGTGGATGGGTTCTGGGGAGAATGCCCGTGGGGGTCTCTCTAGAGGTGACAGGGTGGATGGATGACCACCTGGCTTGGCTGTGCTCTGTCTTCAGAGTAAGAGGCGGTTTGAGCGCGACTGCAAGGAGGCCGACCGTGCACAACAGTACTTTGAGAAGATGGACGCTGACATCAATGTGACCAAGGCCGACGTGGAAAAGGTGAGAGAGCTCGGTCTCACTTCCCTGGAGCGTGCTTCCTAGGCTGCCACTGGGGAAGCCTGGCCTCTGCTTCCTCTTTCTGCTGCAACCACAAGAGGGTACTTGATGGGAAAAGGGTTTCATGTTGTGTCATCGCCATGGGGACCAGAAGTCCAAACTGGGGGAGAAACCAGACGAGGTGATTTGCTTAGTCACCATCGTGATAATGGGGAGACCTGGATATGTCACAACAGGAGTGGTTCAGGAGGCCACACTCTTGCTCAGTGGCTTGTCAAAGGCCAAGTTCCAAGTCTAAGTAGCTGAAGCAACTGTCCCAGCCCATGTGGGAGAAGCCGGCAGCTCCAAGCCTTCAGAAAGGCTGAGCCTGTGCCTGTGCCCAGCTGTGTCATGGATTCGTCTGGGCTGATACCCAGCAGGCCGGGTGAGAGGAGAGGTATTTGAACGTCTGAGGAGCTTTCCTCTGGATGACTCAGATATAAAGTGTGCCCTTGTCTCCCAGGCCCAGTGTGTGTATTTTTTCCCTAGAAGCCCCATTTTCTTTTTATGAAAGTCATCAAGATAGTATAAACACAATTATGCTGTTAAATAGTGGCATTCATTCATGGTGCCCAGGGCCATTTGGGCATTGCAGTCTGTGCTTTTCTCTGGGAAAGAAAGCCGTGCTTTCTCGTAGTGTTGTTTGGTTCTGCCAGATGAATTTGAGATGCCTTGAGTGGAGAAATAGCTCAATTAGGATGGAGGGATACGTGGCCATGTTTTCTTTAATTTCTTCAATCTTCTAAAATACTTATTCTTGATATTGCGAAGGGAGATTTCTATTTTACCAAAAGATATTCATTTTTAGATTAAAGGACCATGCTTACCATAAATTCATATTAACTGGTTGTATTTAAAGTGCTGCTTAAATATTACTTTTTAAGTCGCACCCATTTGTTTGTGTGTGAGTGTGTTTGTGACGAGGAACACTCGGGTCTCGGTTATGCCTCCACCATGTGCATCCTAGGAATCACTGAGTTTTGCACCAGGCCCTTTTACTTGGTAAGCCGTCTTGACAGCCCTCTTCAGACCTTTAAAATGTTACCTAGTTGACAGTGGTGCCTACATGCCTGTAATCCCGGCACTTGGGAGTGGAGGCCGGAAGGTCAGATGATCAAGGTCATCCTTGGCTGCACAGTGGGCTTGAAGCTAGTCCAGCACGTATAAGACTGTCTCCAAAAACTGAAAAACGTGGGACTGGAGAGATGGCTCAGTGGTTGAGAGCACTGTCTGCTCTTCCAGAGGCCCTGGGGAGGAGTCAAAGCACCCAGTGGCAACTTAAAACCATATGTAACTCTAAATCCAGGAGGTCTGATGTCCTCTTCTGGCCTCTGTAGGCATTGCATGCGTGGGATACACAGACATAAAATAGTCTTTAAATGTATGTATGGAGTTAAGTGTGGTGGCGCACGCCTTAATCCCAGCACTCGGGAGGCAGAGGGAGGTGGAGTTCAAAGCCAGCCTGGTCTACATATAGAGTTCCAGGACAGCCAGGGCTGTTACACAGAGAAACCCTGTCTCAAAAATATAAACTACAGGCCAAATATACACAGCTGGAAAGATGGCTCAGAGGTAAGAGGGCACACTGCTCTTAGCGGAGGACCCACCCACCTTGAGTTCCCAGCACCCACCTCAGACTGATCACAACATCCTGTAAATCCAGCTCCAAGGGATCCCATGCCTCTGGCTTCTGTAGACAACTTTATTCATATGTAGCTCCCAAATAGACACACACATAACTAAAAAATTTTCTAGTTAAAAAATGCAAGATGAATAGATTTTAAAAATAAAAGTTCCTGGTGGTGGTGGCACACACCTTTAATCTCAGAGCCTGGGATGTAGAGGCAGGAGGATCTCTGTGAATTGAATGCCAGTTTGGTCTACGTAGTGAGTTACAGGACAGGCTCCAAAGCTACACAGAGAAGCCTCGTCTCAAAAATCAAAAAATAGATAGATTAGGTAGGTAGGTAGATAGATAGATAGATAGATAGATAGATAGATAGATAGATAGAAAGAAAGAAAGATAGATAGATAGATAGATAGATAGATAGATAGATAGATAGATAGAAGCTAATTCTAAGTAATAATCAAAACTAAGGTAGACTGAAGTGTTGCTGGGTCCTAACGGCTCCCTCAGGGAGCAGGGTGAGAAGGCAGGGTATCAATAGCACAGACACAGCCGACTCATGTTTTCAGCAATAGGCAGAGCCTTATATTCTCTCCTTCCAACACCCAGGCTGCATCCTGATTCCTTGACATTGAGTGGTTCCTTTTCATTGGCTAGACATAACCTGGACTTTTGACAGCACCTATTGCTAGGCCCTCAGGCAGATCCAGGTTGGCTCATGTCTCAGCCTCGTAGGCCTTATCTTCCTACACTGAAGTATGTTTAAAAACTCCAGATTAAATGAAGTCAACTCAGTTTATGGGTGGGGTGTGTGTGTGTGTGTGTGTGTGTGTGTGTGTGTGTGTGTGTGTATAGCATAAATATACATGTTCTTTTAAAAATTTTTTATTTAGTTTTCTTTTTCTGTGTGTCAATGTTTTCCTGCATGTATGTCTGTGTGCCACCTGTATGCCTAGTGCCTGTGAAGGGCAAAAGAAGGCATTGGATCTAGAACTGGAGTTATATGGAGTTGTTAACCACCATGTGGGTGCTGGGAATTGAACCTTAGTCCTCTGTGAGGGCAGCCACCCCTCAAGCCTCATTAACACTGTTTCTGAAACCCTAATTCATGGATGTCTAGAACATGTCAATATCAGAGCCCGAGGGTCCCCTGGCCAACCTCTGCGTTGGGTTCCTCCAGCAGCCGGTACTGGCAGTTGTATCCACTACCCTTATCTATCTTTGTGCCTCTTCTTTATTTGCTTTTCTTATCTTTCTCTGCAATCTGTGACCTCCTTGTACAGAGAACAGTAGTCATTGTGGGTTTCTTTATCTTCTTCTTGATTATGGAGAGTGCTTCAGGTCTTTTCCACTAAGAGTGTAGTGGAATAGGCCTATAACCCCAGCACTTGGGAGGTGGAGTCAGTAAGCTTGCTGCTGGCTTGAGTCCAGTTAGGGCTACAGGAGATCTTGGCCAAAAAAGGGAGGAGGGGGGAGGAAGGGAAGAGAAATTAAAAGTGGTAAAGCACTTTCATTATGTGCATCGGCGTCAGATCTGCCAGAACTGGAGTTACAGACAGCTGTGAGCTGCCATGTGGTTGCTGAAAATTGAACCCGGGTCCTCTGGAAGAGCAGCAGTGCTCTTATAACCACTGAGCCATCTCTTCAGCCCCCAAAACTGGCTTTAATATATCTTAAAAAAAAAAAAAGAAATTGTCCCTCATTTCTTGTTTTGCCAAAATACCTTTATTCTATTCTATGTGTATGGGTGTTTGCATGAATATATGTCTGTGTGCCACAGGTGTACAGTGCCTGTGGAGGTCAGAAGAGGGTGGGTGTCTGAGCCCCTGCAACTGGAGTTACAGACTGTTGTGAGTCATACGGTCTGGGTGCTGGGAACTGAACCAGGTCTTCTGAAAGAACAGCAAGTGTTCTTTTGTTTGTTTGTTCGTTTGTTTGTTTTTCTGAGACAGGGTTTCATTATGTAGCTTTGGAGCCTGTCCTGGAACTCCCTCTGTAGACCAGGCTGGCCTCGAACTCACAGAGATCCTCCTGCCTCTGCCTTCCGAGTGCTGGGACTAAAGGCATGCACCACCAACACCCTGCTTAACAGCAAGTGTTCTTAACTGCAGAGCCAGCTCTTCAGCTCTCCAAAATATGTTTTTTAAAAAGCTTGATTTGATAATCAAGTATCTGCTTCCTTCATTTTTTAATGCTTTCCTACATTGAACTAAATTATCCCAGGATAAACTCAGCTAGATTGTGTTTCTTTAAGTACGCAAACTAGTTATTGGACATATTTTATTCAAGATTTTTCATTTCGGTGAGTGAGGTAGTGCACACCTGTGATCCTGTGATGGGAGACAGATGAAAGTTTGAGGCTAGCTTGGGGTATATAATGAGTCCCTTTCCCCCCCCCCCCAAAAAAAAAGGGAAGGAAGGCCTATTTGTTGAATTCATAAAATCTCCTTTCCCTTCTGTTTTAGTTCACTTAGGTTTTGGGAGGTTGCTCTTCATTATAAGATGAAATTATCTAGTTCTGGCTTTTTGTTTTTTGTCTTTCCTTTTGCTGACATGATACCCTGCCATGTGGCTGGGGCTGGCTTTAAGTTCATTTCCCCTGCCTGAACCTCACAGACATACGCCACACCTTCAGTTCTTACTGTCTCTTAAATGTCTACCATGCTCCTCTGTGACAATAACATATGTGTGTGGGTATGTCCATGTGCATTTAGGGACCTGCAGAGACCTGAAGACAAGAGGACTCTTAACTACTGAGCCATCTCTCTGGTCCTTGAGTAATGTTTCATTGTCTGCTACTTTTTGATCCTGGTGGATTTTTATTTTCACCGAACCTGGAGCTTGCTTTGGCTCTGCTGCCCTCCAGCCTCCAGCAAGCTCCCAATCGGCATGTCCCCACCCTGCTCGCACTGAGGCACTGAGTGGTTGTTGTTATTAGGGTTGTTTGTTTTTTGTTTTAAGTGCTGAGAATGCACACTCAAGTCTCTTGCCAGCACATCAGACACTTTGCTCACTGAGTCATCTCCCCACCCCCAGTTTAGGATGTTTGGCGTTGAAATGCTACCTCAATTTCCATTGATTTATCTTTCCCCGAGGGGGAGGGGGGTATAATTTTTCTAAAGTGCCATGGCCACCCTCTGCAGGAATGTGAGACTCCCAATTAGGGAGCCATGGACATCAGTGCTGAATATTTTAAGTCCTTTTGTTTTGAGGGTGACCTGAAAGCTACTGTCCACCATCCACCGCAGACGATGTGGAGACGTGAAGTCAGCTTTTCTCACTGAATTCTTCATTTCCATCCTTGCTTTGTTTTTTGAGACAGGTTTCTGTACGTAGC